CTCAAAATTTAGCCCGCTGCTCGGAAACTCTTCTGTCCCCTTTCTAGCCACTTTTTTCCTACCGTTCATCAGAGGATGAGTGACTGGAGGTCATAAATGAAGTCCTTACGCTGACTCAGAATTCAAATTAATTTCCACTTTAGTTTCCTTGCCAAACCCTGGCGCAGACATTGCAAGATTTGAGCGCTGTGCTTAGGGGCGGGAGAGTGGTAGGAAAACAGGCTCCGAGCACAATATCGGGGACAGGGGGGAGCAGGCTGGGGGGGTTCTATGCCTCCCAAGAGCATGTGGCGTCTCCCCTGTACCTAGGGGACATTTCCTCTTCTGTCCCGTGACAAGGGGTTGCAGAAGACCGCCCGGGAGTGGGGGTGTCTGAGAACTCATAGCTGCCCCTTTGGTGGTTAAGACTTGGGGTGTTATTCAAACACCAGCTGCAACATCCGCTCCAACGTTTTCGCCAGATGACATAAGCCACCAAATCTCCCACCTCCATTTTTATGGGAAATCTTACTAAATGTTTTCCCTGTGCCCTCATGTCTGGACACACCCCTGTTTCGAGTCCAGAAAACGATCTCCCTACGATGACTAAGAGGCCCCAAAACAATATATAAAAATGAAATCAGGGCAGCACGTATTTTCATTCCACAAGCCAGAGTGGAGGCGGGAGGGGCCGGAGTGGCCTTTTGGGGTCTTTTCGTCCCAGACAGCCCAAGGGCAACCTGAGCTAGGTGTGGGCGTGCAAGCCAAAGCAGATTTGTAAGGTTCAGCAGAATCTGCAAACCACTAAGTGGAGCATAAAAGTCTTACTAAGGGTTTTCGGCAAATTCCAAAATGCAAAACGTTAAAAAAAAAACGTGCACGGTAGAATTTTAATATAGCTGGTACCTTCGTTATAGCCCTGCCGGTGAGGGAGACTTTCTGGATTCGGATCCTGGCTCTACTGCTTGTTATCTGTGTGGCCTTGGTCGAGTTATATGACCTTGTGGTGCTTGTTTCTTCATCTGTCAAATGGGGCTAACCCTCTAGGGTTATAGAAAGAGTAAAGGAAGAATTGTTGTAAAGCCCTTGGGTCATTGTAATGCCTCACTTAATGCATGCTACATATAATGCATGCTAAACATATATATATATGTTTATATAACATAACATATATGTTTATATGTTTATATAACATAACATATATGTTATGTTATATATATGTTATACATATGTTAATGCATGCTAAAATATAATTTTAATTTTAAAGCATCCAGTCCACTGCCTATTTAAAGTCATAAGCATATCCATATTTAAATGCTCAGAAGTAATACATTTTTAAGCATCTTTTTAATTGCAAAATTAATATATGATTAATAAAAAAATTTACAACGTTGGGTCTATTTTTAAAATACACATACACGTGCCATAAAGAGTTAATGTTTTAAGATACAGGCTTGGCTAAAGTACGTTATTACATGAGATTTTTCTTTTCTTTCCTGTGATAAGGAAGAAGAGGCAGTTGATTCTCAGCTATGCTTCAATCTAGAAAGGTCTAGATTGCTCTCCGTGGCTTGCTGACTGCCCTACCGAGTGAGCGTGAAACTTCATTTAAGACCCTTCAGCTGTGGCTGTGGATATCCACGCTTACCAGCTTAGACCAGCTTTGGCTGTCTGCATTCTGCATTCTGGGTTTCCATCCTTTACTTAAAAAAAAAAAAATAAAAGAGAGAGAGAGAGAGATCTTACCATGAAGCTACAATTCTCTCCTCTTCCGAATCTAGTCTGTAGCTCGTGGTTTCCATGACCAGTTCTGGAACACTCATGGATTTAGAGCTCCAGCCCAGAGTTTCCAAGTTCCACACCATCTTTGACTTAATATGTCCCCTTGGATGGATGTCCCCAAAGAAACCTGTCTAACCCGGACGCAAGCTGAGCTCATCAACTTTCTGGAACTGATCATCTTGCCTCCGAAGCTGGACAATCTTCCGGGGTCCCTATTTCAGCGAATGGCACCACCATCCCAGGGCCCAAGCCGTGGACTGCAGCAGCTCCGCCCTGACACCCCCTCCCGCCTCCTCCTGTACCCGACCCTCCACCAAGTCTCCCTGGTTTTACCCCTGATATTTCTACTGACCCGTCTGCTTCCAGCTACCAGCACTCAAGTTCAGGCTGCTCACATCCCTCAGTTTCCCATCTGCCTTTTTCCTGGGCCCAGCTCCAATGCCTGCTGCACACTGAAGTCAGAGGAGTGTTTCCAGATCTAGCAATGTCATCACTCCCCTGCTTAAAATACTCACGCGATTTCCCATTGCTCTTAGAATGAAGATAACTCCTTGACTTCTTAATTCAGCCTACAAGGATCTGCAAGGTCGGGCCCCTCCCTTCCTTTCCATCTTGCAGTCCTGTTTCCCTTGGTCTTCCCTCGTCTGCCCCTCGGGTCTTCCTTCTGTCCCTTATCTTTTCCCTGCTCCCTCTCACCACAGGGCCTTTGCACATACTGCCTCGAATAGTCTTCCCCTCCTTTCTCAGCCTGGTCAATGCTGGCTTCCTCTTCTCGACTCAGGCATCGTGTCTGCAGAAAAGCCTTTCTTAATCTCACTGATGTGGTCAGCTTCTCTGGGTACAGGACTCCGTAACAATGAATGCTTCTCCTGAGAGTGTTTATGAATGCCTTCGTTCAGCGAACATTTACTGAGCACCTACCACGCGCCGGAATCTCTTCTAGATACTGAGTTTGCATCATTAAGCAGAACAAAGCCTCTCTTCTTATGGAGCCAACATAATAGAATGGGAAACAGACAATAACCAAACAAATACATACAAATGTCAGAGGGTGAAAGGTACTCTAAAAACATATAAAGCCAGGAAGCAGAAACAGAGACGAGGAGGGAGGCTCAGATTTGCAATTCATTTATCTATGTGGTTATTTGATTAATATCTGTGTTCTCAACTGCACCATAGGCTCCAAGAGGGCTGTGCTCACTCACCATTTATCTCCCACGACTAGCACAGTGACTATCTCATAATAGATGCTCAGCGACAGGGACTAAATCATTCTCATTCTAAAAACAGTCATTTGCGCAGAACGGGAAACTATTAGATTAGCCTTATTTGAGTAGATGTCAACAATTTCTTAAAGTGGCATTTGAAAACAGCGTGTTTAGTCTGACTTCAAAGCAACTTAAGTTTTAAACTCCCTGCGTTCGAATGTAACATAGAGATCCACTTGGGACATTTTTAGACACTGAATACTCTGAGTTCCCTCCATTCTTAGATGAAAAGAAAATGCTTGGAAACGTCCTGCACTTTCTTAAATTTTTTTTTTTTTTTTTTTTTTTGCTGGTAAATGATTTCCAAGTTGGAAATCAAAGAAGCAATTAAACGAGTGAATTCTGCTGTGACAAAACAAGCCGGTTAAAACACGAACCTGCTTCACAATGGGGTCTGTACTTTTTGGAAAGAACGTAACTCAACCCCAAAGGATGGACGTGGCTCTAAAGCCGTGCTTGAACTTGGACTTTTTAGCTATTTGTGGGAAGCGACGATAGCTATGATTTTCAGAGATTTATTTTTCTTCTCTATAGAGACAAGTCAGCATTTTTGAAGAACGG